AGCATGTATCAGTGTTTCATTCTTTTTTCTTGTTGACTAATATTCCATTTTACGTATATATCACCTTTTGTTTATCCATTCATCTGTTGATAGGCAATTGAGTTATTTTCACCATTTGGCTGTTGTGAATAATGCTGCTATGAATATTGGTATAAAAATATCTAAGTCCCTGCTTTCAATTCTTTTGAACATATATCTAGGAGTGAAATTGCCTGATCATATGGTAATTCTATGTTTAACTTTCTGAGGAACTGCCAAACTGTTTTCCACAGCAGCTGCACCATTTTACATTCCCACCAGCAATGCATAAGGGTTCCAATTTCTCCACATCCTTGCCAACACTTGTTATTTCTGATTCTAGCCATCCTAGTGGGTGTGAAGTGGTATCTCATTGTGGTTTTGATTTGCATTTCTCTGATGGCTAATGATGTTGAGCATCTTTTCATGTGCTTATTGGCCACTTGTTTATCTTCTTTGGGGAAATGTCTATTCAAATCCTTTGTACATTTTTAAATTGTGTTTTTAAAAATATTTTTAATCAAGTTGTTATAATACTTTATATATTCTAGGTGCAAGTACCTTATCAAGAAAAGGATTTGCAAATATTTCCCAGCATTCTGTAGGTTGTCTTTTCACTTTCTTGAGGGTGCTATTTGAAGCATAAAAGTTTTAAACTTTGATGAAGTCCAGTTTCTTCTATTACTTATGCTTTTTGTGTAATATCTAAGACATCATTGCCTGAACCAGCTGCATGAAGCTTTGATTTATTTTTATGTTTTCTCCTAAGAGTTTCAGAGTTTTAGCCTTAAGTTTAGGTGTATGATCGATTTTGATATTGTGTGAGGTAGGGGGTCCCAATTTATTCTTTTACATGTGGATATTAGTCTGTCTACATTAGTATATATTGAGTTTTTCACAATAAAGACCTAACTACAAAAATAGCAATGACAAATCATATACCAGGTAGGAACTGCCTTTAGTTGCTAATAACAACTACTTAAAAATAAGAGTGGCTTTAGCAGTATATGTTTGCTTTTTTAACTTACTCATTTTAGGTCAAAGAAGTTCGGAGGTAGGTACAGCTGATATGGCAGTTCCAGAATCATTATTGAACCCGGATCCTGCTGTCTGTTTGTTTCAACATTCCTGTGTGTGGCTTCCATCCTCAAGGTTACCTCATGGTCACAAGGTGGTTGCTGGAACACCAGCCAACTCTTCTGCATTCTGAGCAGGAAGAAACAAAGGAAAACGGGAGTTATCCCTCTTTAAATAACTTTACCTGAAACCAATTAAAAAACTTGGGTTTACAGCTAATGGCTTCTCCTATGGTAGGGAGGCTGGGCATAGTAACATACTCATCAGTTTAAGGATTCTGGGTTTTGCAGGGAGGCGGGTAATTAGGTTTATTTATTTTTTTACATTTAACAGAGGAACTGAGGATCGAACCCATGACCTCATGCATGCTAATCATGTGCTCTACCACTGAGTTATACCCTCTGCTCCAAAACAAGGATTCTGAAAATAAGTTGTCTATTCATGGATATCAAGTAGCCAATGTAACAGGCTGTGGTGGAGTAGCAGTTATCCAACCAATATCTTTTCTTTTCTTTTTTTTCTGTTTTATAGATTATCCAACTGCTAACTACATGTTAAAATGTTCATGGGTTTGTTCACTGGGTCATATACTTTGTTTTGTGTTTTTTTAATACATATTTTTTTGAAGTATAGTCAGTTTACAATGTTGTGTCAATTTCTGGTGTACAGCACAATACTTCAGTCATGTAGAAACATACATATATTCGTTTTCATATTCTTTGTAACTGTGAGTTGTTATAAGACTAATATCTATTTTTCAGTATCTTTAGTGGCAAGTAGGATTGAGGGATCATGAGCTCAGTACTGCCAGAGCTTTCAAATTTTAGAGACTTGAATTTTACATTTCCTATGAACTCTCCTGATTTTTCAGTGTTGGCAATCAACCAAAAAAACCACATTTCACCTTGCCTGGGCCAGACGCAATCCATCTGTGGCCCATATTCCTTATCCATGCTCCTAGTGGGTGACTTCTGCTTTCAGGTGATCATCAGGGCCCTTTAAACACCTGAAGGGCATGGGAGCGGTATTACACTTCCTCTGGGTGGCTCTGAGCCAGTGAGTGAAAGTCACGAGGAGGGAGGTTTTGGCTCCACTTTAGGAAGAGCTCCATCCGCAGAGCTGTCAAAAACAGAAGGAGCTGCCTGGGGAGGTAGGAAGTTCCTTGTCGCTGGAGGTGTTTGAGCAGATGCTGGAGAACTGCTTGGCAATGACTTCTAAGGTCTCCCCAACCACAGGAGTCTTGGAATATCACCATGATGACTATGGCTGCTGCGATGACTTGCTGAAAGGAGACAAGCAGAAGGGGAGAGGCTGTGCATCTGGATTGTGAGGGGGCTGGCCACCTGCCAGCTGGTGTGTTCCTACCTTCTAAATAACAAGGAATATGCCCTCCCCATCGAGATGACCTCTATTCAGTCTAGATGGTAGGACAGAAAGATTTACTTCCCAAATACAACAGTGGTTTGATCCATCTCCTCATTGCTTACAAGTGCACAGCACATATGGGACTTTTCGTATGGGGATGATTCAGGCTATTCAATTCAATTCATTTAGTTATTCGTACTTTCAGGGCTGGCTACAGGGACCTGCATTCAGGAGGGCCCCATGTTTGGCCTGCTGCTTTTTTCTTCAAGTTCTGAATCCTTTTGGAACAAGGGATTCCACATTTTCATTTTGTGCTGGGCCTTGCAAATGAAGTAGCCAATCCTCCACACTTTTACTGAAAATCTACTCAGTATTTAGCCAGTGCCAGGCATTGAAGGAACAGCGCCACACTTGAACATGCTCACGGTCGAGTTGGGGGCTGAGGGATGGGGAAGCTGAGAGATAAGGAACTACTGACGTAGCTGCTGTGTAGCGTACTAGGTGTTTGCAAGAGGGATGTCTAACCTAGACAGAGTGGTCAGGGGGTAGAAAAGGCTATCCAGAGGAATCAAGGTCTTCTGAACTTCAATTGTTTGTTAAAATTTGGTCTTCCCTTTTTAGACGACTGTAACTAGTCATGGCTGCTTAACTAAGGACTGCATTTCCCAGCATCCCAGCAGTTAGTTGTGATCATGTGACTAAGTTATCACCAATGAAATGAGTAGAAATGATGTGGACTGCTTCTAGATCTGGACTTCAGAGCATCCCAGCGTGCTGTCTCCATCCTCTCTTCCCTGTTGCTGCAGATGGAATCTGCATATAGTTGGGGGTGCCTCGCTTCCATCATGCAGCTAGATGACCATGAGGGCCTTGACTGGCAGAGCAGTGACTGACAGGAAGCTGGGTTTCTGAAGGACCACAAGGAACAGAGCTTCCCACTCACCTGGACTGCTCATCTCAGAGAAAAGAAACTTACATTCTCTAAGCTGCTGCATTCTGGGATCTTTGTTAGCCTACTCTACCGAACATGAGGAGGACCTAGGAGTTAGCCATGTGGCAAAAAAGGAGAGGAGACAGGCTCCAGAGCACCTAGTCGAGAGGACGTGGCAGTTCAAGACGCCTGGAGTGACGGCTGTGAACGGGAGGGTGGTGTCTTGGTCAGGTTGGGCTGCTGTAATAAAGTACCTTAGAGTGTGTGGCTCGAACAGCAGATGCTTATTTCTCACAGTTCTGGAGGCTGGGAATTCTAAGATCAAGGGGCCTGTAAATTCAGTTCCTGGTGAGAGCTCTCTTCCTAGCTTGCAGATGGCCACCTTTTTGTTGTGTCTTCACGTGATGAAAATAGGCAGCTCTGAGCACTCCTCCTCTTCTCGCAGGGACACTAATTTCATCATAGGGTCTCTACCCTCGTGACCTCATCTAACCCTAATCACTTGCCAAAGTTCCCCCTACCTCCAAATGCTGTCTTATTGGGAGTTAGAGCTTCAACATACGAATAGGAGGGGGTGAGGACAAACATTCAGTCCATCACAGGTGAGAAGAAGGAAGACTGGGCCACATCTTGGACCTTGTGTTCCAGGCAAAGACGCTGGATGTCATCCTGTGGGCTGTTGGGAGCCCAGCTGGGGAGTGACATGATTAGATTAGCTTCTTGTCTGTCAATTTGAGCTGGAACCTGCATATTTTCTAAATCTATGAAGTATTTCAGAAGACTGGCCAGTAATCCAGTGAGCACTCACATACCCATCGTCTAGCTTGAAAAATACATCACAGATAAAGTTCCCGGCATTCCCTTCCTAATCCCATCTTCAGTTTAGTTGTTTGTTTAGTTTAATTTTTTCTAAGGACCCTTGGATGGGTAAATAGGACATGCATCATTGAACATCTACTGTGCCCTCAGCACTGTGCCGGGTACCATGTGTACATATTAAAGAAGCAGTCACAGCTGGGTGGGAATATAAAACAAAAACAAACCTGTGCATTCCCAGAATGAGGTGACTCCCTTCTGAGACCAGATGTGGGATGCCTGGAGAAACAAGATACAGGCTTTGATCTGGAGCACAGATACAAGATGTGATGGCATGTTTGCTCAGGATCTCCAGCCATTGCCTCCTCCTGATGCATGTGCAGATAAATGGTGCAGCCAAAAGAAATCTGAAGTACGTCTCTGGAAGTCTTTAAGTTCTGAGAGGACTTGGAAGGACTTGGGGGTACAGGTGGTATTCCATCCTTTCATCCAGCTGATGCCTGTGAGTCTGGAAGAGAAAGGAAAGGATACTGGGAGTGAACAGCTGGTGATGTTGATGGTGTTGATGAGGGTTTCATTTCTTGGGCAAGAGCCCAAGATCTTGGAATAGGAGACTACTGGCAAAGAATGGAGAACGCCGCAAAGACAGGGGAGAATGTTTGGCAGGAGATTTCCCAGTGGCGTCAAAGGGCATTTAAAAAGATTGCTGTGCGATGCAGAGTGGACAGCTGTTGTTTTTGTCTGCTCAGCATCCGTTTGCCTTCTTCTTTTAACAGCCTCTTTATCTTTGAAGGGAAACCATCCATCATCTTCTCAGTCTGTGTGGCTAAAGACGGGTGATCCTATCCTTTGGCTCCAGAAAGAGTCCATCAAAGTCTCAAAAACTGTTTCAGAGGTGGCCATGTGGCCGTATCTGGAACAATGAGAGCTCTCCAGGACTTTGCTCTCTAGAACTTTGCTCAGATGACTGGGGATGAGGTAAGCCTTCTTTCTCGATTAGAGTGGTTGAGATGGTAGAGATAAGCTTGAAGCTACTGAATGCCATTGCCTTAATGAGACTGGGAATGATGTCCACATAGCAGAGAGCTGAGCCTAACGATGGAAAGAGAGAAATGACTGAAAATGTGACAGCACATGGATTTCACCATGTCTGAGGCTTACCTTTGGACTTTTCAGTTATGTGAGCCAATATTTTTCTCACCCTCTCTCTGGGTTAGTGTCATTTCTATTGACGTGCTACCACTGACAGAAGAAAATGGAAAACGGCCTTTGTGATACAGACGGAAACAGGGTAATTGAGACAGTGCTATTATTCTTGAGCAGAAATACACTTGGCCCAGAACTTTATTTATGGCCTTGCATGTCTGTTTCCCAAGGCAAAGTTTACAGGGAATGGATAGGCAAGATTTTCATGTTACCGAGAGAAGAAAAACACAATTTCATAAACATGACTGTCACTTGCAGGGGATTCGTAACTAGAAAGTGACAACAGAAGGATATAGACTGTTTTAAAAAAATGCAAATCTTTTTTTTAAGGGGGGTAGGTAATTAGGTTTATTTATTTTTAATGGAGGTACTGGGAATTGAATCCAGGACCTCATGCATGCTAGGCATGCACTCTACCACTTGAGCTGTACCCTTCCCCACTACCAAGTACAAATAGGAAGGGAAAAGTATGTAGCATCTTCTGTCAAGGTCTGTCCATCGTTGTGGAGAGCTTTTGGGTCAGGAATGAGGAGAACCCTAGAAGCAAGTGCCTACTCCACCCCTAGGCCAGAGAAAGCTTCCAGATGATGTTTTCCCAATACATGTCACAAAGGCAACAAAATGGTTTTTGTGGGGGAATTCCACTTATCCAGGCATTAACTGGAATTCTCCTTTTGCTGAAGTTTAGAACATCTGATAAATTATTAACTGACTTTGCTTAACAGTTTCTCAGAATATAGAAGCAGTAATGGAAGAAATTGTTCTTTCATTTTATAAAAAAAATAATTTTCTCCCTGGAATATAAAAGGAAGACATCCCTTTTATGGAAAATTGGATAATATAATATAACGGCAACCACTTATAAATCTATTTCCAGGTGTAAGTGATGGGACTTGCAAGACAGATGCTGGCTAAGTATTTGCTAAATCAGTTCATTTAGTCTCCACAGCAATTTTAAGAGGTTCATTCTAGTGTGAGCCTCATTTGGTTGATGAGGAAACTGAGCTTTAGCAAAACTAAGAACATTCCCTAAGCCAAGTCAGTGTGATAGAATTTGAACTCTGCCATCTGGGTCCTACCCACTATCCTCTGCTACATATTTCCTTCCGTTTATAGAAATTCCCCAGTTTTTTATCTGTCTGTCATTTTGTAACTTGCTTTTTCCCTTCCACTTGATATGATAATATGAGCACGTTCCCACTTTGTTAAAAACTCTGACATATTTTAAAATTAAAAAAAATTGTGAAGTAGACTAACGTAAGGGATGCCCGTGAACCCAATCACACAGCTTCCACAATGAGCAACCAGTCTTGTTTCCTCTACCTGACTCTGCGCTCCATTACCTAAAGCAAATTGCAGATGTCAAATCCTGTTATCTGTAAACATTTCATGAAATTTTAGTAATTCTTGAGTATTATCAGATACCCAGTCAATGCTCAGAATTTCCTGATGTAAGCATTATTGTAGATGCTGTTTGCAGTTGGGTTCCCAGGATTCATCGGGAAGAATTGGTGGGAGTGTGAAAGTATCAGAAACCTTGAACCAAAGCGACCCTGTCATTTTGGAGTTTGTGACAGCAAATATGCAAGCAAAGCTGCCCTCCCCCAAATTTAGGAAACTAGATTTCCAAAAGTTCAGTAGCAAGAATTATGTATCACATCATCTTGAACTGCACTGTCAACGCAGTAGCACTAACCACACATGGCTGTTTACATTTATGGTAATTAGCGTTAAATAAAATGTGAAAGTCCATCCCTCGGTTGCACTGGCCACCCTTCAAGTGCTCAGTTGCTGTGTGTGGTTAGTGGCTATCTTATTGGACAGTGTGGATAGAGGACATTTCCATGATCATAGAAAGTTCCTTTGGGCAGCTGGTCTGGAATCTAAGAAGGAATAGTATTTACAAGGGCAGGAGATACTGAATAATTAAAAGTGTCTGCATTGATGGTTGTGGTAGGCCTGGAAAGTGTGCCGTGTGTCTGCTTGAGGGACTTGACCAGCTTAACATTCAAGAGGAAGTAAAGCACACACCTCAGGTCTCATTGTTCATTTCTTTAACTGCTCTGATTGAACCGTCCCCACTTAGCCTTGCACCAGCGAGGTTCACTTTATTTTTATAGCTAGCTTCCTTTTTTTCTAAAAAAAACCCTATTCACGCTTAACAGTGGAAAAATTGAAGTTAGCCCTGTCTTGTAAATATCAGCTCTGCCCAGCCACTTCCAGTTTAAAATAGTTTCATTTTGAGGAATCGTTCCACCCCATTCAGTTGTTACTTGCTACCACATTTTCAGTTGAGAGCCCCTTCCCTGGGCTTGGGAAGCAGGAGATGGCTTTGGCTCTGTTTATTAGCGCCGCTTCTCCTTCCTCCTTGCAGCCCCTCTTGCCGGCTCCAAGGGTCTCCTTGTGGAAAGTGGAGAACGCAGACCTCTCCTTTCTCTGCCAGGTTGTGTTTCTCTGCGTGACCAGGTCCTCAGTGTCCATTGGCAGCTGTGCACTATGTGGGGTCCCAGGTAGGATTTGGCTGTGATGCTTGGTGTAGACCGTGGTCCCAGCAGTATGTCTCTGTCCAAGGTCCTCATCCTGTATGTCTGCCTGCCCCCCCCCACCTTACTTCTCTTTGGTGCTAAAATCTAGTAACTCAGTTTAAAAGGGTATATTAGTTACCTATTGCTGCAGATCAGTTTACTCCCAAATTTAGCAGCATAAAACAACCATTATTATCTTACATAGTTTCTGAGGATCTGGAATCCAGGTGTGGCTGACCTGGGTGGTTCTGGCTCAAGATCTCTTGTGTGGTTTCAGCCGGGATCTCTGCTGGAGGTGCATCACCTGAAGGCTTAACTGGGGCTAGGGGAGCCACTTCCAAGATGGTGCAGCCACATGCCTGTAGGCACCCACATGCCTGTTGGCAGGAGACTTCAGCTCCTTGCCACACGGGCCTCTCCACAGAGCTGCTCACGACACCGCAGCTGGCTTCCGCCTTCCCTCAGAGCAACTAATCCGAAAGAGAGAGAGAGTGACCAAGATGGAAGTGTCTTTTATAGCCTAATCTCAGAAGTGATATACCATCTCTTCTGTCATATTCTGTTGGTCTTGTAGACCAACCCTCATACAGTGTGGGAGGGGAGCTGAATAAGTGTGAGAATTCCAGGAGGCAGGGATGCTGAGGGTGGAGGGAGGCTGGCTACCATGATGAGGTTCATTGAGTGGGGATTTGGCTGGGAATCAGGCTCTTTTAACTGTCTTTTAGAATTAGGCAAGTTCTTTTCACCACGCGTGAGCTTTTCCAGGGAAGGAAGAATCTTTGCTGCGATTACCCTGAATACACCTACTAATAAAATTATACTTTGTTTTTATTATACAACATGTGTTAATTGTAGAGAAGAAAAAAAACCTAGACAAGTGATGAAAAGGCAGATAAAAGTCGTTTTTTAGTCCCCTATTCAAAAGTAAACTCTGACATTATGGTTTTCCAGAATTTTCTCCTGAATGAATGGTACTTTTACCGAGTCTTCTCTGTTCATTCATGCCTTTAACAACTATTTTTTGAACATTTACTATGTGTCAGTAATTCTACTTCCAAGAATTTTTTTAGTTGAAGTATAGTCAGTTTACAATGTTGTGTCAAATTCTGATGTACAGCACAGTGTTTCAGTCATACATATACATGCATGTATTCTCATATTTTAAATTTTTATTTATTTTAATTTTGGGGGGTAATTAGGTTTACTTACTTATTTTTGGAGGAGGTACTGGGAATTGAACCCAGGACCCTGTGTTTGCTAAGCATGCGTTCTACCACTTGAGCTATAACCCTACCCCCTGTATTTTTTTTCATTATCTACTTCCAAAAATTTAGTTGAGGAAACATTTAAGGCCATGAGCAAAGGGTTGGATACAACCAGCTTAATCCAACACATTTACCCAATAATCTTAATGTTGTTTTACATTTGTTTATATCTCAGATTTAGAAATCTTTTTCTTCATGGTTTCTGGCTCTGGAAGTTCTTATCCTAATCTAAGTTTACATAAATTCATTTTTAAGCAGTAGGGTTTAAAAAAAGTTGTCTTCTTTCTTTGCATTATAATTAAAAAAAGGTATACTTACGGCCATTCAGTGTCCTCCATAGCTACACTTTCCTTTCATCATTTTCTGGTCTCTTTGCTCTTTTCTCTGAATTTTGAAAACTTTTTTCAAGTTGGTCCCTACCTGTGAATATTCTCCTTTTTTTAAATTTTAAAATTCTTTTAAAAATATTTAACTAAATAAATAAAGCAGACCAAATAATATTCACAACACATGTAAGGTATAAGCTACCACTAACAGTTTAAGAAATCAAACAATATCAGTGTCTTCAGTGCTCCTTCCTCCTCCCTGAGGTTTGTGGTTATCACTCCCTTGCATTTCTTTGTAGTCTTACAACAAACGTGTGTATCTTTATACAATACGTTGTCCAGTTCATGCATTTTTCTTGTGCAAATGCAGTCACGTAGCGTATGCTCTTCGGTGAACTGCTTCCCCTCTCTTCCCAACATGACTTTTGTGAGATTCCTCCATGCTGATGGGTATGACTGCCACGAATACTGTGCTGTAGTGTGTCAGCGTGTGAATGCACCACATTGTGTCAGTTCAGCTCATGGACATTGGGAAATTTCTGGATTCTCACAATTCCAAACAGTGCTGCGGTGAACATTCCAGTAGATGTCATCTGGTGCGCACACACCAGGATTTCTCTCGAGCAGTCATTCCCAAACTTGACTGCACATTGGAA